GGGGGGGGGGGGGGGGGGCAGCAGAAGGGATCTGTGTGTCTGTTGGGAGGCAGGTTTGGTGTCTGTCTGTCTGTCTGTCCGGAGGGGAAGGTTTGGGGGGGTTCTGTTTGTCCTTCCAGGGTTACAGTGAGGGGGCTCTGCTCCGTCTGTCTGTCCAAAGGGCAGCACAGGGGGTCTGTCCGTCTTGGGGGGACAGAAAAGGGGAGGTGTCTGTCTGTCTGCTTGTCTGTCTGTCTGTCCGTCTGTCCGGAGGGGAAGGTTTGGGGGGGTTCTGTTTGTCCTTCCGGGGTTACAGTGAGGGGGCTCTGGTCCGTCTGTCTGTCCAAACAGCAGGATAAGGGGGTCTGTCCGCCTTGGGGGGACAGAAAAGGGGAGGTGTCCGTCTGTCCGTCTGTCTGTCCGTCCGGGGGTGGGGGCACCGCCGCACCCTCACCTCCCCGCTCCGCAGCGTCTCCCCCATGAGCCTCCCCCGGGATGAGCTCCAGGGCCAAGCGGGTGCTGCTCACCCGCCCTGAGCCCCCCAGCGCGGAGCAGATCCTGGCCGACGTGCAGGGCTCGCACCCCTCCGACCCCGTGTTCGTCCTCCCCGCCGAGCCCCCCCAGGAGCCCGGCCCCGCTCCAGGTGAGCCCCCGCTGGGCAAGGGGCGGCCGCGGGGACCCCCCGAGCCCCGCTGAGCCCCGGCCCTGCCCGCCAGGCTGCCCCGAGCCCGCGGAGCGGGAGCGGCTGTACCGGCAGATCCGCTCCTACGTGGCCATGAACCAGCGGCTGCAGCAATCCCGGGAGCAGCTGCGGGAGCGGCGCCGGGAGCTGCAGAGGGTCGGGGAGGAGCTGGACCGCGGCATCGCCGAGATGAGGCACAAAGCGTTCTGAGGAAGCCTGCTGGGCGCCTCGGGACACCCCACGCCGTGGTTTCACCTTCCCAAAACCGTTTGCATCGCGAGGATCCGGGTTTGCCGGGGCAGCCCCGGCTGTGCCATCCCAGTGACCTCTTGCCAGGGAGCTCTGCCAGCACGGCGGCACCTTCTTGGTGTTGGGATGAAGGCTTGCACCCCTCCTTCTGCCCCTGAGCCGGCTGCCACGTCCCCCGTGGGTGGCACGTCCTCTGCTCTCTACGACTTTTCCCTCTGGTACGTCCCCGAGGATGACCACGTCGCCTCCCGCATCGCAGGGCGCCTGAGGGAGGAGGGATTTCGGGGCTTCACCGAGCACCAGGACCAAGTGGCCGGGACATCCGTCATCCTGTCGGCCATGGAGGCCATCGAGGCCAGCCGGGTGGCCATCCTGCTGCTCTCGTCCAAGTCCGTGGGCGACCGGTGGTGCCAGCGCGTGTCCCAGTGGAACCTGTTCCGCAGTATCCACCAGCGCGGCCCCAGGGTGGTCCCCGTGTGCGTGGGGGTGACCAGAGCCGAGGTGCCCGCGTTCCTGCAGCACCTCGTCCCGCTGGAATACCAGAACGAGTTCTTCTTCCAGCGGCTGCTGGCCAGCCTGAGGGCCCGCCCGAGGAGCGGGCACCGGCGGGTCCCGCCCGGGGGCACGAACTGAGGCACCGCCGGGGCCGGCTCGGCGGCCAGCACCGCCCCACGGTGTGGAAAACTGCCCTGTTTTGCTAATAAAGGTGCTGGCAATGCATCACGCAGCAGCGTGGGCTGTCCTAAATCTCATCAACCCCCATTTTTGGGAGCTGAACGTGCCGCTTTCTGTCTGGGGGCGGGGGATGGTGTGCGGGTGTGTCCCACCCTCCCAGGCGCGACCTTGTGGGTGCTTCTTCCCCTTCCTGCCCTGCTCCGCTGTCACCCGCGGCTCGTCCAGCTCGGCGGCTGCACCGGGAGCCGCGGAACGGGCGGGATGGGGCCGAGCCTGGGGCCGCTGCTGCTGCTGCTGCTGCCGCCCCTCCCGTGGGCTGAGCCCCGGCCCGGTGGGGCCGGTGGGGCCGGCGTGGGCTCGGACGCACCGGCCGGGGCGGTGGCTGGTGCCGGTGGGGACGGGACCCGGCTCCAGCCCTCGATCATCGGGGGACACGAGGCCAAAAAGCACTCCCGGCCCTACATGGTGCTCCTCCAGCTCGAGGGGAATCGCTCCTGCGGGGCAGCGCTGCTGCACCGGCGCTGGGCGCTGACAGCCGCGCACTGCCTGCGTGAGAAGTGAGTCCGGCACGGCTCGGTCCTGCCCGGGGCGGGGACGGGGCTCCCGGTGAGCGGCACCGGGCTGACGGCGGGGACGGGGCTCCCGGTGAGCGGCACTGGGCTGACAGCGCTCTCGGGGTTAGGATGGGGCTCCCGGTGAGCGGCAGCGGGCTGGCAGCGCTCCCGGGGAGGGGACGGGACTCCCGGTGAGCGGCACCGGGCTGACAGCGCTCCCGGGACGGGGACGGGGCTCCCGGTGACCGGCACCGGGCTGACAGCGCTCCCGGGGAGGGGACGGGACTCCCGGTGAGCGGCACCGGGCTGACAGCGCTCCCGGGGCGGGGATGGGGCTCCCGGTGAGCGGCACCGGGCTGACAGCGCTCCCGGGGTTGGGACGGGGCTCCCGGTGAGCGGCACCGGGCTGACAGCGCTCCCTTGGTGGGGAAGGTGGCAGAGCGAGGGGCGTCTGGTGGTGGGGCTGCACAAGCTGGGGGACAGCGGGGCGAGCACCCAGAGCTTCCACATCCGGGCTGCCTGTCCCCACCCCGACTACGACCCACAGACGATGGAGAACGACCTGCTCCTGCTGCAGGTGGGGCTCGGGCCGGCGCGGGGGAGGCTCCGAGCGGGGCCGGAGCGGCGGCGGGGCCGGGAAGCGCTGCCGGGAAGGGGCGGGGGTGTGTTCGCACGGCGTCGGTGCCGCTGCGCTCGCAGCGGGGGCGAGCGGTGACATTTCCTCTTGTCACCCCCAAGAGATTTCACACCTGGGAGTCATCTCCCCGCTCGCACTGGCGCTGCACCGGCTCGGTGCTCCCCTTCGAGCCGTGGCCTTGGGGGGGGTGCAGCATTGGGGTGCTCCCCTTTGACCGCGGTGTTGGGGGGCTCCCTGCCAGCCCCTCTGCCCATGGTGGGGGGCTCTGACACTGCCCCCCGCCCGCAGCTGGACGGGAAGGTGACACTGAGCAAGACACGGCGGCTGATCTCGCTGGCGAGACGGGAGCCGGCGCCGGGGGAGCGCTGCAGCCTGGCGGGCTGGGGGGTCGTGGACTCCCAGGGTCGGAAGCCGTCGCCCACCCTGCAGGAGCTGGAGGTGACGGTGATGGACACGCAGAAATGCAACAGCAGCCGCTTCTGGCACGGCGAAATCGGCCCCTCCATGATCTGCTTCCAGGGGCAGCGCCGCGGCTCGGCGCCCGCCAAGGTGAGGGTTTGGGGCTCCGAGGGCTGCAAAGCTCTGCCCGCCCCGAGCCCGGCCGAGGGGGGCTCCGGGGGCGGGGAGGATGCTCACCCTGGGCGGGCGAGATGTCCCCCTGGCCGTGGTGGGGGTCCCTGTCCCCGTGCCCACTCCCCGGTGTCGCCTCGCCCTCAGGGTGACTCGGGGGGCCCGTTGGTGTGCGGGAAGCGGCCGGCGGTGGCCGGTGTGGTGTCCTTCAGCAGCAGGAACCCCACGGACCCTTCCAAGCCGCCGGTGGCCGCCTCGACCGTGAAGAACAAGAAATGGATCCGGAAAACGCTGCGGAGGGGCTGCGGCCAGCCCGAACACCCGGGAGACACCAAACACCCCTTCCTATTTACACAGGTTGGCTTTTAATTGGGAATACTGTCCAGAGTCTGGTAAAATAACATCCTTAGTACATAGATACAGTGACGGTGAGCGGAGCCCGGCGGGATTATCGGTGGAGGAGGGGGAGGGAGGTGGCTGGTAGCCGAGGGGCGATGCTCCTGCCACCCCTGCACTCACTCAGGAGTGCTGCTCCTGGGATTTTCCTCCTTTTCTTCAGTCCCGGCTGCTGGTCCCTCCGTGCCGGCCACTGCCAGGGCAGGGGGGCTCCAGTGGGCACCGGGGTGTGCCCATCCCCACGACCCCAGTGCTCGTCCCTGGGGACCCCCTGCATATCCGCACGGTCCTGGTGTCTCCCTGGCCCCACTGTGTGTCCCCAGTGCAGCCCAGAGCTCCTGACTGTGTTCCCACAGCCACCCAGGTGTGTCCCCTGTACATGTCCCCATAGCCCTGTGTCTGTCCCTACAGCCCCCGGTGGCACTGGGATGGTCACTCATCCACAGCAGGGAGTGGTGGCGTAGCAGTGGAGGTATCCCAGGGGTCTGGGACCACCTGGACTGGGGGTCCCTCTGCAGCCCATCCCACTCCTAGGGGTTGAGGCACTTCCCACACACCCCAGTGCTGGCACCTGGGCCCGGCTGGCAGCAGGAGTGGGGGTGTCCCCTGGGTTTTGGGGCTGGGAGGCCGTGTGCTCGTGGGCGTGATCCAGTCCTGGATGGATCCGTGTCCACATCCACAAGGACACACCTGGATGGATCCTGGCTGTGAGCCGAGGCTCTCCTGCCCTGGGGGGTGGGAGGCTGGGGGCCTCTGGGTGAAGGTGAGGGACCCCAGACCCTTTCCTGGGGGTTGGGCATCCCAGTGCCAGCTCAGCACCCTGTCCCCTCCCAGAGCAGCCCCCCAGCCTGGTGACAGCACCCTGCGAGCAGCCCCTGGCATGAGCCCATCGGGACCCCCACGAGCCCTGCCCGGCTTCTCCTGCACCATTTCCACTTGCCACCACCCCAGACTGGCACAGGTCACCCGTCAGCAAACAGGAACCTCCAGCGGGACATCCTGGTCCCCCAAACGGGGCTTCTGGTCCCCATCTCCCCCTCCAAAGCCTCTCCTCTGCATCCCTTCCCTGTTAATAAATGAGCTGCCATCGTCAGCAGAGCCAGAGCTGGTGCCAGACAAGCTGGAGCGTGCGGGGTTTTCCTGGTACCGGTTGTGCTGTGTGGGATCAGCCCCTGGGTGAGCAGGATGGGGGCACGTGGGGACACGGCCCCACCTCAGCTTGTCCCTGGATGTCCATCAGTGGGAGGGGATGGTCCATGAGAACCACCCCAGACCTGGAATGTCCCCAGCTCTGTCCAATCCTTGCTGCTGGGAATGGCGATGCTTTAGCACAGCAAGACCCCAGCCGGGGCCAGCAGCGGGTTGGGGTGACTCGCTGGTCCCCAGCTGTCCCCACATCCCCATGTGTGTCCCAAACACAGTCCTGGGCAGCTCCCGCGGGGCTGGGGGTGTCACAGGACCCCCACTGGGGCATCATCAGGCTTGGATTTTCTCCACTGCCTTGTCGGCCACCGCCGTCACCGCCATGGGGCTGGGGACGTAGTTGAAGGGGGTGACGCGGGCGGCCTTGCTGGGGGAGCCGTGCCGGCTGCCGGGGAAGGTCCCGGCGGGCGCCTCGTGGCCGAAGGAGATGGGCAGGGCGGCCTTGGGGGCTTCGCCATCGCCGGTGACGCGGGGGTGCGGGGGTCCCTCGCGGGTCTCCAGCGTGGGAGAGGTGCTGGAGTTGGTCTTGGAGGTGGCGAAGTCCTCGGTCTGCACCACGGCGTCGCTGGTCTTCCTGCCGGGGTGCTCCTCGTCGCCAGAGCCCGCCAGCGGCAGCGCGGAGGAGGGCAGCGTGCTCTTGAGGATGTGCGGGATGTCCTCGTCCCGGATCCTCCGCCACGTGCCCTTCATCATCACCACCGGCGGCTTTCCCGGCGGCCCGCCGGGAGCCGGCTCGTTCTGCCGCCGCCGCGCCGCCGCCTCGGAGCGCACGGAGGACGGGCTGGCCGCCCGCCGCGCCACGCTGATGTTGGGCGAGGACGAGTAGCGCTTGAAGGGCTCGGCCGCGGGCACGCTGGTCTTCACCGGCAGCCGGGACGGGCTCTCGGAGCTGGTCCGGCGCGGCGGCTTGGCCCCGGCCGGGGCTTTGCCGCCGGGCTGGGCTCTGGGGATGAGCGGCCGCTGGCCGGGGCTCGCCGCTTTGGCGGCTTTGAGCTCGTCGCAGCGGGAGGAGCAGAGGAACACGGCCGGGAGCGCGGCTCGGCTGCGCTGCGGCGAGCCCCGGCGAGGCAGCGAGGCGGCCGGCGGCGTCGGGGACAGGTCGGAGCGGTGCCGCAGCAGCAGGCTGGAGGATTCCTTGATGAAGGTGAGCTGGCGCAGGAAGCCGGAGCGGTCCGAGTCGCTCCCGCTGGAGCGGGCGGATGACATCCGCACCAGGTTGAGCCGGCTGCCCCCCGGCCCCGCGGGCCGAGCCTTGGAGCCATCGACCTGCTCCTCCAGCACCGGCATGGCCCCCCGGCCCGGCAGCACCTTCCTGCTGGGCTTCTGCATGAAGGGGATGCGCACGGGCGACTTCTGCGTCTTGGACTGCTTGGGAGCCGGAGATTTGGGGGCCGGGGCTCTGGCCGGGGGTCCCGGCGGGGAGGAGGAGCCGCTCGCCTTGCCCGCGGCCGGTTTGGTGACCTGCGAGGGCGACGGCAGCTTCTTGGGGGCGTGCTGGGAGGGCGTGGAGGTGCGGGAGGAGCCCGAGGAGGGGGGCCCTTTGCCGATGCGGGCGGGCGGGGTCGTGCTCCTCTTGGGCAGCGCCAGCTCCCCGCTCTCGGGGGCTTTGCCCAGCCGGTGCAGGCTCCGCGAGCGCTGCTGGCTCAGCGAGAGGTTCTTGGCCGGCGGCGCCTCGGGCTTGGCCGCGGGGCTCTTCTTCGGCGTGGCCCGTGGGCTGGGGGCATCTTTGGCCAGGCTGGGCATGTAGATGACGGTCCTGCCGCGGAAGACCACGGGCAGGTTGGGCACCGGCTTGGCGGGCGCCGGGCTCCGCTCCGCCCGGGAGCTGGCGCGGCCGGCGGGACGGGCACCGGCCGCGTCCTTGCGCTCCGGGCGGGCCTTGCTGCGCTCCCTCCTCGCCGGGTCCCGGCCGGAGGCGCTGCCGGGCCGCGGCTTCTCCTGCCTGCCCAGGGAGAGCTGCAGCGTGGAGCCCACCGAGAGCCCCGACACGAAGGACAGGATGGAGTCGGACTCGGAGGAAGGCTCCCGGGACAGGGAGGCGGCAGCCTGGTGCAGCCAGGTGACGATGGAGTTGGCTCCCTCCTGGATGGCTTGCCACTCCACGCTGTCCAGGTCGGAGCCCCGGTCGGAGCCGGCGTCCTCCTCGGGGTGATGCCTGGCCTCGGCTTTCCGCTCCCTCCCGCCGGTGCCCTGCGGCTTCTGCTTCCTCTCCACCAGCCTGCGGCGAGCCGCGGGCCGCCGGCGCTTGGGCATGGCCGAGCCGATGCACTTCTGCAGCAGATCATCCTCCGAGTTGAGGCTGGGGGAGCTGGGCGAGCCCCCCTGCGCCTGCCCCGCGGCCGCTGACCGCGGCCAGGTGGCTTTGCCGCAGGGCTGGCCCCGCTCCTCGCCCTCGGAGAGGTTGGCGTCGCTCAGGGAGCTCATGGAGGAGCTCAGGGAGTAGCAGGGCGGCGTCTCGTCGGCGATCAGGTTGTTCTGAGGCTTCGTCTTCGCCGGACGGGGACCGGGCTCGGGGTCCTTGTTGGGGACGGAGCCTCCCCAGCGCTCCCTCCGCGGCGCCCGGCCGGGCTGGGCTCTGCTGCCGGACCCGTCCCTGCCCGTCTCGGGCAGCTCGTCCAAATCCGGGTCGTAGAAGCAGTAGACGGCTTCCTCCGTCGGCGTGGTGTGGCACAGCGACTGGAACACCACCCCGTCCTCCAGGGCGTCATCCTTCCTCCCGGGGGCACCGCCGGCCCGGCCCACCCCCAGCTCCTTCGGGAGGGTCTGGCCCCGCTTCCCCTCGCCCCGGCCCGGCCCCGCTTTGCCCTTGGCGGCGGGGCCGAGGCGGGCGGGGGCCGAGCTGCCGGAGGCGGCCCGGCGGGCCGGGATGCTGCCGGGCCGGCGGCGCCGCTCGGCCGGGGGCTGCTCGGCCTCCTCGCCCGCCGGGTACCGCAGGGTCTCGTCGCTCAGCGAGGCGGCGCTGGAGAAGTTGACGGGGGTCCCGTCGGCCGAGTCGGTGAAGGAGTCGTCGTCCTTGAAGAGGTCGCGGGCGGTGGCTCGCAGGTGCCTGGGGACGCCGGGGTGGCTGGGGGCCGGCACCAGCATGTAGACGGGGACGTGCAGCGGCTTCTTGGTCTGCGGGTGCAGCACCTGCCCGGACAGCAGCGAGGTTTTGACCTTGCGGAAGCGGGAGGGCATGGCCGAGCTGATGCACTCCTTGAGGATCTCGATGTCGTCGTCGTCGGGGGGCTCGGGGCGCTCGGCCCTTCGCCGGCCCTCCAGGAACCTCTCCTCCCGCCGCTCCTCCCGCTTCTCGTGAGCCGCGAAGTTCAGGCTGTTCTTCTCCGGGAAGGTGGGAATCAGCTTGAGCTCCACGTCCTTCTGGACGTAGTGCTCGTGGAGGGGCAGGGCGCTCAGGCTGGAGGCGCACGAGAAGTTCTCGTTGGGTTTCTCCACCGTGAAGTAGACCATGGAGTCCAGGTCCTGGGGCAGCTGGAAGCGTTCCTTGAAGTCGGTGATCTCCATGAACTTCTTGACGTTGTTCTCCCACTGGATGTTGAACTGGCTGGTCTCCTTCTCGGGCTGGCAGCCCAGCTCGAAGAGCGGAGTCTTGCTGCGGCTGGGGGGCATGGTCTGCCCGGGGCTGTCGGGCAGCTCGCTGGGGCTGATGGTGCCGCTGATCATTTCGCTGCACGGGTCGCTCTGGATGGAGCTGGCGATGGAGGGGCTCTCGAAGCTGCCCAGGGAGCTGACGGAGCTGCAGCGGCTCATCACCAGCGGCGTCTCCTGGA